AGAATGGCGGCGGCAGGTCGCGCGGCATTTCTGTAAGCCCGCCCTGACATTCACTTAATTACATAGATTACAAGTTGACATTTTCGTTTGCCACCATGATTTAAATTTGAGTGATATGGATTAGCCATATCCATTGCGCTGGATTTATTGTTCAAGGAATTAGAGTTTTATTATAAGGGTTATCATAAAACATTGATTTATGTATACGTCATTTACTAAAACCTTTACAGTAAAGTTATGAGCACGGAATCGGTAACAACGAAATCTGAAATTGATAACGTTTGAATGTGAAAAAGTAATTTAATAGGTAATTTAAAAAAATCAGTATATATACATAGTTTGATTAATGAGAATTGATTTCAATTTTAAATTCCCCACGTTCATGAAAACATGTTTTCGAGAGCCCTTTTCAAAACTAACAATGTAAAATTGTCTTTCAGTCACACCTCTTGAGCCGTCAAGTCAAATATTAATCAAAGTCGGAACAGACAGCACACGTAGATGCACGGGAGCATTTTAATTATACTGAAACGTAATGATCATTTTTCATTCTTAATTGCCGTTTTCATCCATTTCACCTAATCATCGTTATATAGATGTCTCTTTTGTTTTATGCTAGTAAAGGGACTAAGTCAATTTAAATTCAGCATTTGTCTGGTCTAACGTGAAACAATTGTATTAATGCAAACGCGGATAGTTTACAAACAACAATAAAATAATTGTCGTTTCGGCTTGATTTCCCACAGATTAATATTCCGGTGCTTCGAATTCACGGTTTGTGTGTGATATCTAAACAGCGAGAGTGCAATAAAACTAAGCAAACGAGAATCCAACGAGTCATAAAAGTTGGTCTCGTGCGATGTTGCGGGGATTTCGTCGGTGGAAGAGCTGTGCTGTGACGTCACTTCACTTTCACATCACGAGCCTAAAGCCGTTGTGTCGTACAAGTAGAACGAGCTGCGTCTCGACGCCAATTTTGTTTTACTAGTGATGGGGCTGTTGTAGTTTTTAATTTGCTTCTTATTGCTATATTTTTAACGCTAATTTATTTTTTACTCTAGTGAAAATGTACATTGTTTTTTTGTTTTTGAAGTTATACTTCTTTAGGTGCGTTATGAAAAATTGATGAGTGACATTTTACGATGCGCGCGCACCGTGACACAAAATTAACAGAATGAAGTTGCCTACTAAATCGCTCATTTCAATACGATCGACGTAACTTGGCGAGTCTGAATATAGCCGCAGGTGAACTTTCCGAACCGTACCGAGAATTACCGAATTTATACGATGTCAAGAAAAGGGATGTCCAATATGCGTGTTTGAGGATGTTGTTTAATTGATTTTTTTCAAATTGAATTAAATTTAAATAAAAAAAAGAATTAAATTTCATAAAAATAAAGTATAACTTCTTACGCGCGTACATAAGTACACGCACCCTTTTTTATTAGCAGATATAGACTGAATGAATAGCAATAGCTTAATTTCCTTGGTTCGTTTTGTTTATATTTTGTCAAATCTATAAATTTATTCTATTACGAACCAGTCACGCGGTCCGGTTTCAAAGGTATCAATATCGTTTAACGTAAAATATACATTATGATGTATTTTAAAACTATTTTTTATTATTTAATGTTTAAATAATAATAATAATAAAACATTTAATTGTTATTTTTTATAAATCCATCGACATCACACCCAGCTCTAACTGTTATCGTGTATGTATAGTCTTTATAAAAGAAAGACACGGCACCTGACACCATTATGCTATTATAATATTTTGTTACTCAGCGCACTGATGCCTTCTTGACGACGCAGTGAATACGAAATTCTCAGTGCGTCCCTCCCCAGAGGCGGCTTTTGATTTCGTACACCAAATTTATTGACGATTGTATTTGTATTTGATATCAGCAGATTTTGAAATTTCCTCGTAAAACTTAGTTTATGATCTGAATCTGTTCTGTTTGTGGTGCGCGATACTGTTTGTGAAACGTATAAAATATTTGAAAAGCAACTTTGAAAGTAATACATTGCTATAGTTTCACTTTAGGTGCGCCAGATATAATGTCATAGATTTGTCAATTCTAATCATTATTACTCAATAAAAGATTACTAAACAACACATATGATCTCCTTCAACATTCGTATATTAATCTAAAATATGATAGAAATGTCTGTAGATAATAATAAACTAAATGTTAAAATAAAGTACATATGCTACATATACATTTCACATTTAAATAGGTATGTAGGCATGCGATAACCACACACGACCGGTATACTATTTCAATTCATTAAGTGGACAGCGGCCTCATTGTGTAATTGCTGATGTCCATGAGCGATGGTACACGTCAGGCAGGCCGTATGATCGACTGCCTACACGATAATAATAAAAAGGGCTTTATAATAATTTCCAGAAAAAAAAATTGCTAATGTAATCTAGATATGAAAATATTAATGTACCAACTATCTCATAATTTTCATTTTGTAAAATATATTATAGTTTCACTTTGTACCTTATACTCGAATAGTTTCAAAATCGAAATTTTCCGAATAGAATGTCAGGTGAATGTTATTCCGTTTGCCTTTTCTTTTTTATTGTATTTTTTATTGTGAGGGTTCGGTCGCATCCGTATGTCGGATTTTTGTTTAAAATTGCATTTTTATATTTGGAACGCGATCCGCGACCGACATGGCGGCTGACAAATACGCGTATCGCCGCCATGAATGACAATTGAAGAGATGTTTTCATAAAGACGAGAGACTCGATTTTTATTTTTATGAGAAAGAAATTGCGTCCATAAAAACGGCGATGAAATGATGACTGTCATATTTCACTGTCGTCGGAATGGGCCAATTGTGTCTAAATGACAAAAGGTGGATTTTTAAAACGTGTTTACGTTCCGATATAAATGGCGAGATTGTAGGGGAGGTGGAAGTTAGGTTGTGGCGTTGAGTAGTATTGAGTACTGAGGCCGCGCTATGCGAGGAATGCGCTCACACGATGCAGGTAATAATCCTTTAATCATCGAGCACGAAAGTTGATGTGTCTATATTTATTCATAATCATAATCATAATTCAATAATAATAGCTTGAAGTTTTTCTTATAATTGCCAAAATTTTTTCTCGGGGCTATTTATGACTGAACACTTAGTAAGTTTATATTTTGTATTATCATTTTGAATTTAAAAATAATATCAATTTCAAATTGTCTTTCTAGCGAAATCGTTATTTAAAATTAATTATATTGTTATTACGAATAAGTTTATGTATATATCATCATCATCATGCTTTCCTATTACCCTCTGCTGGGGTGTAGGGCTCGAATCAAATTTTTCCATTTATATCGCTCTTGGGCAGTCTGTTCTAGCTCCTCCCACGTCATGCCCAAGACTCCTAGCTCCTGCTCCACCGAGCGACGCCAAGTTGTTCTGGGGCGGCCTCTCTTCCTTTTACCAGACACTTTCCAGGTCAGTGCTCTCTTTGTTAGGTGTGTATCGGGCTTTCTCAAAGTGTGACCAATCCAATGCCACTTCCGCGTAAGGATCTCCTTCTCCATTGGTGTCTGCTTAGTGATCCTCTACAGCTCTTTGTTAGTGATCTTCTCAGGCCAAAAGATTTTCAAAATCTGACGCAGGCACCTATTCACAAACACTTGAAGTTTTTTGATCAAGTCCTTGCGAACAAACCAAGTTTCGCTCCCGTACAGCAATACAGACTTTACATTTGAGTTGAAGATCCTCACCTTTGTTCGTCTTGTTAAGGTTGAGGAACTCCACACTGGCCTAAGTTGACTAAACGCGGCTCTGGCTTTATTTATACGAGCCGCAATGTCTGCCTCGGNCCTATTCACAAACACTTGAAGTTTTTTGATCAAGTCCTTGCGAACAAACCAAGTTTCGCTCCCGTACAGCAATACAGACTTTACATTTGAGTTGAAGATCCTCACCTTTGTTCGTCTTGTTAAGGTTGAGGAACTCCACACTGGCCTAAGTTGACTAAACGCGGCTCTGGCTTTATTTATACGAGCCGCAATGTCTGCCTCGGTGCCCCCTCTATCGTCCACAATGCTGCCCAGGTAACAGAAGCTTCCCACCTGCTCGATGTGCCTCCCTTTGATGGACATAGGAGCCGTATCGGTGGTATTTATGCGCATTTATTTTGTTTTTGAGAAATTAATACGCAGCCCTACTTTTTCAGCTTCACCTACTAGATTATCTGCTTTGTTTTGTAGCTGCTGCCGATTGGTTGCTAGGAGGCAAATGTTATCAGCAAAGTCGATGTCCTCAAGGTCTTCATCCGCGGTCCAAGGCAGTCCTTGTTGGCATTTGCAGGTGACTCTGTGCAGCACATCATCAAGCACCATTATAAACAGCAGGGGAGACAGCAAGCAACCTTGCTTGACGCCTGCGGTGACCACGATATTATCCGTGAGTTTTCCCCTGTGGAGCACTCTACACGACGATCCATAGTAAAGCGCTTTTATGACATTTATGAGCTTGTCGGGCACGCCTTTTTTCTTCAAAACAGTCCAAATGCTGGACCAACTGAGACTGTCAAAGGCCTTTTCGAAGTCGATAAACAATGTGAAAACTTCACACTGCATCTCCTGACATTGTTCTAGGATCATTCGTAAAAAGTTTATTTGGTCCGAGCATGAACGTCCTGGTCTAAACTCTGCCTGCTCTTCTCTGAGCTCACTGTCAACCACTTTGGCCATCCTCATCAGCAAAATTTTCGCAAGAACTTTTGAACATATTGGTAGCAGGCTTATACCCCTCCAGTTGGCACACGAGGAAAGGTCACCCTTTTTTGGTAGTTTCACGATAACGTTTTCCTTCCACGACGCTGGTATGTATTCCTGCTCCCAAATACGTGATAGCAGCGGGTGTAGAATCTGGGTAGTGAGATTAACATCCGCCTTCAGTACTTCAGCCGTAATGCCATCGCCACCGGGAGCCTTGCCAGATTTTAGAGATGTGATTGCCTTTATTAATCTCGGCTACGACCGGAGTCCGTGTTTCCAGAATATGCCGCCAGCTCTGCTTTCTGTGCTAAGGCTTCGGTCCAAGCTCGTTTGTCTTTCTTTAGGTGGAGTTTGATCTTTAGCTTCCAGAGTTTGTGCAGAGTTGATCTGCTCTTTCTTTTGCTGCCTTGCCTGGATCATGTCCCAAGTGGCTCCTGAGATCCATTTCTTTTTAGGCATGCATTTGTAACCAAGCACAGACTGGCAGCTTTCACGGAATGCGCCTCTAACAGACTCCCAATGATCTTCGATAGTCCCTTCTTCGTAGCTAATGTTAACAGTACGATTACGGAGGTCGTCTTGGAAATTTTGTTTTGTGGTTGGATTCCGAAGCTTCTCTGTATCAAAGTTCCTACTTGCTGTTTTGGCAGTCCGCTGGATTTTCGCTACTTTTAGTTTTATCTTTGCCACAACCAGGTGGTGGTCGCTATTTATGTCCGCACCCCTTTTATTGCGAACGTCTAGAAGGGATCTTCTCCAGTTGCGACTTATCAACACATGGTCGATCTGGTTCTCTGTAATACGGTCAGGTGAAACCCATGTAACTTTGTGACAACTCTTATGAGGGAAAATAGACCCCCCCACTATGAGGTCATTTTGACAGCAGAGATCTATAAGCATATCACCGTTTTCAGATCTCCGTCCCATCGCGTGTCTGCCTAGCCAAGGCTCAATGTTCGTGTTGTCTGATCCCAGTTGGGCGTTGAAGTCTCCTATGCAAATAATAATATCTTGGCGCTTTATCTTCTGCCGAGTCGATTGCAAGTGACTGTAGAACTTTGCTTTTGTGGCTGTACTCGCTGCATTTGTAGGCGCATAGCATTGTATGACTGAGATGTTCCGCACTCTTGAGTAAAAACGTGCCATTATTATTCGGTCCGAAACAGGATGCCAGTCGAGCAGACTGCTCTTAGCTTTGGTGGTCATTAAAATACCTACGCCTGATTCATGGTTATCAGTGATATCTTTGCCTGAATAAATGAAAGTCATATCATCTTCTTGGTGTTCTCCAAAACCCTTCTATCTAGTTTCTGAAATGCCAAGAATCTCAAGTTTGTAGCTGCGCATAACTTTTGTTAACTGCTGTAGGCGGCTTTCTTCTTTCAAGGTTCTCACATTCCAGCTACCAATCGTTGTCCGTTGTTTCATGCCAAAAGTTGTTGGTGTTTTATCAGTCCGGTTTGTTTTGATTCGAGTTTCAGTAATATAAAAGTTTCAGGCATACAGGTTATTAGCCCATAGTGCCCTAGGCTGTTAGTAGGGCTGCTGCCTCGAAGCGTACCGCCACACTTGATTTGTGTCAGAGTTTTCTCTCCTCTCATGCATTTAGTGGTTATTTAGACCAACTGGGTGATGAATACCCTTCCAGCGCACTGGGCGTATGGTTATACCGCCATGTCTCGGTCGTCAGAGCCTCGTTGGTTGTCCAGCAGGGAGCACCACGGTAGCAGGTTTGCCACCGCCGCGATCCGGCGCGAGCAGGTGAGGTTGACAATGGGGTCAGCGAGATGTTGTTGCTGTTCTCCCCTTACTCCCCATGTATATATAAATAAAATAATTCTGTTATAGCATCTCTGTGCTCGACTGTACGTTTTGCATATTCCTAAACCCCAGTGGATACATTTGATTAACCCGACTAGACAGGCTTCATTGATTTACAGTTTGGCATCTACTTTAATCCTAATCCGATATTACTTACGCCAACACGCGTCTCTCGAAAATTCTAGTATATTTTAAAGGTTTTCGATAATAGAGCCTTCATAGATTCGATATGGTGGCATATCGAATATTTAAGCCGCGCCTCATCTCAATGTAGGCGACCAAATTTCTGACGCGATGTCTATGGGTTCCTATAATCGTGTATCTCCAAGTAGAAGAACGTAAGGTATTTTATCTTAAGAAAAAACAAATCTAATAGCTTTGTAAAAGTCATGCCCCAAAGTGATTCTTGGTATTCAGATGTTGCGTATTGGCTTAAGGAACCACCTAACGCTATCCGGACTGTTTTTCCCATTTGCACTTGTAAAAGACTTGACACTTTTTTATTTTTTATTGCTAGATGGGTGGACGAGCTCACAGCCCACCTGGTGTTAAGTGGTTATTGGAGCCCATAGACATTTACGACGTAAATGCGCCACCCACCTTGAGATATAAGTTCTAAGGTCTCAAGTATAGTTACAACGGCTGCCCCACCCTTCAAACCGAAACGCATTACTGCTTCACGGCAGAAATAGGCGGGATGGCGGTACCCACCCGCGCCGACTCACAAGAGGTCTTACCACCAGTAATTACGCAAATTATAATTTTGCGGGTATCATTTTTATTACACGATGCTATTCCTTCACCATGGAAGGCAATCGTGAACATTTGTTGAGTACGTATTTCATTAGAAAAATTGGTATCCGCCTGAGATTCGAACACCGGTGCATCGCTCAACACGAATGCATCGGACGTCTAATCTGTTAGGCCACGACGACTTCTAAACTTCTTCTTGAGCTCAGCGCAACAATGAAAGGTACATAAAGATACTTTTAAATATTGTATCGCTGATTTGTATTCGATATTCAAAATTACATAGCATTAAACGTTAAGCATAGTTATATAGCATTCATAATTATGTAACATCTGATGTAAAAGACATCTCATGAAGAGGTCGATTTTCCTATTATAAATTGAATCATTTTGTTTCGTTTATCGATTGTTTACATTTTTATCGTGCTTCGGTTTATCGCACGTGAGCCGAGCCAAACTGCCGATCGTCCGACACTGGACATTAATCGCCCGTTAGCGACACATTATTCACGGGCACGCGTTGCAACCGAGCCGCCACCCTGTATCACCCCGTACACAACAGTCGCGCACTTTAACATACACGCATAAAACGTGCGCATCATTCGCACCTGTATTTCTAAAATCATAAAGATCTTTCTTGAATGACACAACAAAGTAGTTAAATCGTATTGACGCGTTCCAAATCGTTTAACTAATCCAAGCCAATATATTCTCTATTTCCCAATGAATAAAATTAATTCGTTTTTCAAAATCCTTTCGTACTATCGTATGAAACTGGCCGCTATAGTTTCAAATTATTTAAGCATTGTTATATTGCCCATAAAGTTGTATTTTCTTTGTTGTTGATTCAATGGTTTTCGAATGAGGTAAGCATTTATTGATGTGGATGGAATGCATAAAAGCATCTATTATGCCACTATCAACAAGCACAGTGGTCTGGACAATTAATTATTTGCAAACAGCATTGGAGATTTTACGTACTTATAAAAGATTTTATTTTGGTATGCATGCTATGTTGATTTCATTCATAAAGTAAATTAATCTATAAACTGTAGGATATCGCAACTAGTAACTAGAATTAAAAATCATATTGACGGTCCATTTTATGCATTTTAAAATTTTATCACTTTTAATAGTTACTAGTATTTAATCATCACAGTTACATATTTTAGCTGGTATTTTTATTGATTTCTTACATTTGTTACATTGATAAACAAATACATGTTTTTATTATGAAATTCGAGTACATCAGTTTATCTGTTACTTACTATTGCAATACGCTTTGGAATCTTATAACACAGATCTATTAATCGTATAGAATCGGATGGCACGTTATCCGAGCGCAGTATAGTGAGGTAGCGAGCCGCACTATCGCGGTATCTTCGCGCTCAGTCGAGCAGAAGCGTTCTGCTCCATCAGCCAGATGTGTTTACGTGCCCCGCATCATTTACATACTTTTCAAAACTTTTATGCCTCGAACGAAAAAAATATGAAAACGGGTGTATAATTTTTCCATAACCTAAGTATCGTAGGCCAAACATTTTATAAGAATTCTATTGAATGGTATATCTCAGACTTGTAGGGCAGATCAGTGTGGTAAGGCCGATTTAGTGTTTATTTATTAATTATTATTTTAATTTATATTGGTGGAGCTTTGCCATGGGCACCGCTAATTCAATGAAAGGCCGCCTATCTTAGTTTGATGGTATACGAGATAATCGACGACTGACCCATCAAGGCGCCCAGGGGCTGCCACTGGTGCTCCGGAATCTCTAACTGGACCAGAGTCAGTCTGCTGGGTCAGAACGAGATACACTGCTAACTAGTTGCTCTTCAAAACTGGCGTATCGTGCTACAGTGCTGGTATCCTGCCATGCCTATTTGGACGCCCCACGATCTACACCGGAGTAGTTACTATTTAATTCTGCACGATGATACTTTTTTTTAAGTGGCTTATTATTGATATCCTAACACGTCGAGCACGCTCAAGTTAATGGTTATAAGTGGAAGCTCAGATGCATGAACCTACTATATTACTAACACAAAATGTAAAATATGTTACTCTGTTTATTAAACAGCCACGGCTAAAGTTGAGAATTACGAGCTCAACTGGCGACTTCAAAATTAGGCTTATCCACCTTTTGTTTCATCACATCTGTCGCACAAACAAAACGTAACTCGAAAACGGCCCTCGAATTGAATACAGAAAATGAATATTTATAACGGCGTCAACTGTTAATCCTGTATTGTTAGAATTTTCGCTTCTCGTGACTGATGACGTCAAGAAAATACGGGCTCTTACGATGCTTGTACACTGCACGCTGTTTCAATAAATCAATATCATAAATATATTTAACATAAAAACTTTGAAACGCTTTATAGATTCAGCTTACTTTGTGCTATTATAATTTTGCGATTAATTTTAACAAATTTAAAATATGATTAATTGTCGTTTCGGTGCGCTAAATTTAGGTAAGACGTTCGAGGTCATAATAGCCTTGTTCTATCCTAGCGGGTATAACTTTCTAGATAAATATAAACTAAATATGCTTTTACGTATTGTTTTTATAATAAATTATATAATAAAGACAGGACTATCGGGGCTTTTAAAAGAATTGTCTTATTAAGGAATAAAATATGTCTTTATGTATGTTTGTTCTCTACCCTTCTTCAACATGCGGCTAATTGTGATGACACTTATTTATTAGTAGTACTTTTAATCGTCAGGTTATACCAGTAATTCATTCATTTTTGTCTGATCAAATTGAGTTTAATATTGATGCAGTTGTTGTTAGCACTTTAGGAAATGTTTCGGTTTTAAAATAAATATTTATTTATTGCTTTACGGGTAAACGAGTTTAAGATCCATCCAGTGCTAAGTGATTAACGTTGCTGACCGAATTCGTCTTAGCAATTGATGCAGATGCTACCCACATACGGCTGCTTTGGAATCTTCCACGATTTCCAGCCCCACTAACTAATTTAGGTCCCCGTTAAATGCCGGTTTAAGGACCGATAAGGAAGACTCAAGAAGATAGCCTGTAAGCTGCTTTATCTTCCTAAAGAGAAAGCGTTTGACCACATTCCCAAATTCAAACTGGTTGTGATCTACCTAGGTTACGGGGGATAGGAGTTGACTATCTAATAGCCTGTCGTGCGACATATCTGGCTGTATTAAATAATATAATTTAAAAATTGATTTAATTTCGGTATTTATCACAAAATATATTAAATATGAGCTATGTGTACGCTCACTAACAAAGCACAGTTCATCTTAGGAATTAACGAACAAAAGGCTTAGTTCCGACGCCTCTCGTCGTTCGAACGATTCAACATTATTATATATAAAATACACCGGCTTAACTCGCTCTCGTTTCCAGAAATCTCTTTACTGTATGCGTTAGGATTTGAATTGTTTGAAGTTTGTTAATATAAGGGATCTATTAATAAGCATGGTGTGACCTGGTCATAGTTGCACCATTTATTTTTAGCGAAACAAGTCTATCATATGGTCCATGAACACAACCAAGCCTGTAGCTGAGGACTCTTTTCAAATATTTTAAAGAATATTTACTCAGAAAACACCGCGAAGAGAAGTTTATACAAGTAAAAGGCGACAAAGGATTCACAGGACACAAGATCACATTTTATTATATCGATCATCAACCTGTTTCTGCCTCTCATAGCTACAGCTATCC